TTACGGAGAGGCCTAGGGACAAATTTATCTGCGTTTTTCCGTTGTTTTCTTCAAGACCCTAAGATTATTTGTAAGTTCATTCTTTGTAATTAATGATAATTATTTCTATTCATCCCAATTATGTTGATTCGTCAATTATGAGTTGTGAGTAGTTTAATTATGGATTTGGGATTGATGAAGGGGTTAATCATGATGTATGACTAGTTTCTTGATGGATTAATTGTATAAATGCCGTTTAATTTGTGTATGAATAATTTAATTGATACATCTTGTAACCTAGACTGCAGCTGGAATTACAATTGCTTGTAGAATAAATTAAGAGAGATCTAATTCTTAGGACACATTCACACACACTTAATCGTTCGCTAAGAATTAGTAGCGATTAAGGGGCCGTAAGCTCGCTCGTCTTGGCAATAATTTAGGATCTTGTCGCATGAGAGATCAACCAGGTCCCCTAAATTATTGTACTCTACGCCGCGAGAGCGGTAATAACTTAGTAATGATTAGCTAGGCTCAATTAATTACTTTCATGTAATTAAGCCTCATCTGCCAAAAATCTGGTTACCCCGGAATCGTTAATTAGAGAGAAACCAATCTTTTTATTTAATCGTTCATTCGCATTAGTTAATTTTCCAAACCACCATTTTCGCACAATTGCATTTTTATTTTTTTTAATCGCTGAATTTAATTAATTCTTGATTCCCTTTTGTCCGTCCCTGTGGCGACGATACTCGTACTTACACCCTATACTTAGAGATGGCAATTTCGGCCGACCCGTTGGATATCCGCACCGAACCGATTTGGTCAAACTGGGGAAAACCGATTTGACTGGGGAATGGGTATGGGGCGGGGAATACCCAAATTTTTTAAATGGTTAATGGTGCGGTTATGGTTCTATACTAATCCACCCCATTATCCGCCCCGAAACCACCCCGTTCACTAATGGTGCGGGTACCCGCACCGTTACCCGATTCGTAACATTATTAATAAATTATACTTGTAACTTTTATATATAAGAATAATAAGTATATATGCTAAATTGTGTATACTAAATAGTATATCATATAAATAATGCTAAAAAGTATACTACTTTTTTAGGCTTAAAACTAAATATAGGCTTAAAACTAAATATAGGAATTTGGATTCTGGGATGATTACTATTTTATTATGTTATATAATTTAAGAGATATTAGGTGCATGTCATATTAATGAACTTAGGCCAGTCTCCTTGATTGCTTAAATACTTACTTTTGTATGTTTATTTGAATATATATTAATAACAAGTAGGATTAGAAATTGGTTATTTGTTTTCCAAAAAAATGGTTATTTGGTATCATTTGGGGAAACGGTTACCCATGGATAAACCGATTCCCCGTTGGGGCGGGTACGGTTCAAATAAAAATTACCCGAACGGGTAATGGGGCGGTTTTGGGGCAAATATTTATCCAACGGTGCGGTTTCGGTTTTAAGTGCGAGAAAATTCACATCAATATGTTTTAGTTTTTACACAAATAGTAGGTACATTCACATTACTAAAGAAATGAATTGCTTTTTAAAATAAAATAGAGTGTATTTGACAACACTGAAATTGGTTGAATCAATTGAAATTGGTGAAATACTGACTGAAACAAATGAATTGTTTGAATTTCCTGAATTATGAAAAATATCAATAAATGAAGAAGAAATTAGGGAAAAGTACAAAAAAGGTAATTGTGGTTTGGGCCGTTTTCAGATAGGGGCACATGTTTCATTTTTTAACAGTGGGACATGTGTTTCAATTCCGTTATCACAGCAGGGGCATGGCGTCTAACGCCGTTAAAAAAACTAACCCCGATTTTCAAAAGTTTCCGAAACATTAAAAGAAAAGTACTGGGAGGTGCGTCTCGTCAAGGAGACCAACAAACTATTATTCTCTTTGAATTTTTCGGCTCTATTTGGATTATTTTTAAAAAAACGAATTTTATTAATATCACTTTTCCGACGGATTTTTTGGCGACATGGTTGCTGGAAACAAAAAAAGAAAGATCGTTTGTTGGTCTCCTTTATGAGGGGCACCTCCCAGTATTTTTCTTGTAATGTTTTTGAGACTTTTGGAAATCGGTGTTAGATTTTCTAACGGCATTAGACGCCGTGTCCCTGTTATGATAACGTAATTGAAACACATGTCCCACTTTGTTAAAAAATGAAACATGTGCCCCTATCTGAAAACGGCCCAAACCACATGTACTTTTTTTGTACTTTTCCCAAGAAATTAAATGAAAATAGCTAATATAGTCATCTTTTGCAAATTTAGCCAAATCAACTTGAATAGTAACTCAACCTTACTTACTTTGATTATACAACATCATTTGTGCCAAGTTGAAGACAAGAGTTACCAAATTGACTATTAGATTCATTCCTCATATGTGTAGGCGTGTAATACACATGTCCATTGACTAGCATATATCAATGCAAGAAAATTTGTTAGTACCCAATTTTGATAGATTTTGATGATGTCATTATACTTTACTTCTGTACATTGTGTCTTATTAAATTCAAGTATTCACATTTAAATTAATGTACAATCTTTGAGACTAATAAAATATTACCCAAAAGTCAAAATGCAATAAGGTAATTTTCATTTACCTTAATAGGATATTTAGATCCTACTGGTATATATTTTATTTGTTTCAAAGATTAATCAAGTGTCACTAATAAAGAAAATAGGTTCGAAAATTATATACAATGAATGTAAATGACTGAAGACAGAACTTGACCTGCATTAAAGGCTAAATCAAGTACATGGACCTACGGTATGGGACACACACCTTGAAGTGATCCGTGAGCTACCAATAAGTGAAGACAGCGTCAACAAATGATCCAACACAAGAAGACGAATAACAACTCTTCATTGACAAATTTCCAACGCCAGAGATTAATTCATCTCAACCAACGGATGAGATTAATCAACTTTGGAGGCCTATAAATATAGGTAGAAGGATGAGTTCTAAAAGCAAGCTTTAGAGTATCCAAAGTAGAGAAAAATATCCATTGAGCATATACGAGCTATCTAGCAAAAGAGAAAGTGTGAACCTACTTTACTCTCTGCTTGGACTCATGCTTCACTAAACTTCCAAGTTACAAGTATTCATTGATAAATCCTAGAAGTTTAGTTCCTAGTTGGAGGTTAGAACTTTCTTGTAACATTTCACAAATTGTTGTAAACACTTAGGAGAACAGTTGTTCGGGTCCTAAAGTGTGGTTAAATAGATAGAGTACCCTTTGATCCCCACTGGATCAATTGAGAAAAATCTAAAGGATTGAGTAACTTTGAGTGGTGCTATACTCATTGTGAAACACCTTCAATCTAGGCCTAAGAGTTGTAAAGGCTAGATTGGCACTAAGTGTATTGGGCTTAATACTTTAGTGGAAATCCATCTGAGATAGGGTGGGACTGGACGTAAGAGGATTACACCACCTCTGAATCAGGATATATTATGCGTTGATTTACCTTCAGTCAACAAAGCACACACCAAACACTTCTCACAAAAGGATTGTAGTTTGTCAGCAGCATCCTAAGTAGTAGTCTTAATTGACCCTACTGCTTATCCTACTGCTTAATTACTCACTTTTCTTTGAGACAATCTTTCCACAAGAGCCTTACAATATCACCACTAAAAGGTCCGTTTTGCCAGTATTTAGAAATACATCTTTCATATGCAGCAGGTCCTTAGCAGTCTCCTGGGTCCACTCAACTGCTTAGACCTCTGCTTAAACAAAACCCCTTTGTATCTCCAGCTCAGTACATCTTCAGAAAGCCCTCATCATTCTGCATAAGGCCACATAATCATCTTTTCCAAACTCCTATTTTTCACTAGCAGTCGCCTCAGCAGTTCCCTGTCATCCAGGCAACTGCCAAGCCAACTGCTCACTGTCAAAGTCCAATCATTCTGTTTAAGCTGAAACTTCACCCAAGAAAGAAAGTTGTTTCACACTGTTTATTCAAAGAGGTTAAAGACTTCTGTTGTGCATCTATAAATCGATCTCTCAAAAGATTATAGATCAACTCATCTAGAAGGGAAAAGTTTTAAAAGTGAAAAAGCTTTAAAAGTATTCACCCCCTCTAGACTTTTACCTCTATCAGGGACCATCAAAATTTAATTCCGAGTACCAAAAAACAAAGTGATTAAGTAATTATATTAATTAGTTCTTGCAAAAAAAGTAATTAATTAGTAAAATTAAGTGCCAAGAAAACGAAACAGGCCGGCGATTATAATTGTGCAAGGTATTATTAAAGGTAAATAGGATGGCACATAATGATGAATACCTCATATTTAAAAAGAAATATGAGGTGGCATGCATAATATATTGAATCCCTTCCTAAGCTAAGCTAGTTTATAAAAAGCGAGGCTATACATATATATACAGTATATAGAGAAAAGTTTAGTTCACCTCCGGAATTCGGATAACCGCGGGGTTTTGAAGCGGTCCCGATAGAGTTAGTTTTTTGATGAAATCTTTTTAATGTGTTATTCACAAAGTGTATATTATGTCCTTAAAATTTCTAACTTAAAATTCTATTGGAAAATCAGTTAAATAAATTATAGAAAAATATTGCTCTTATATATCACCTCTGTTCTTTGAAACTTGGCCAAGTTGAAGTGTTGAACCGACACAAAAATTAATAAAATAAGAATCATGTGATTGAAATTTGTGCAAAGTAAAGAGAATTAATTGGAACCTCAAATTCTTTACAAGTTAATGAGACAACAAAATCTAAAGGGAGGAAGAGTAGGTATATATTTTGGCGTTTCATACATTTGGAATTGAAAATGGTAATAGGGAGTAGTAATATGGGCGCCAGATTTGCATATATATTTGATTCCCTCAGAATCTCCGTAAAGTCACCCCTTTCATCATTTCATGATCAATTGATCATGACCATACATGAGGCTTCATGAATACTAGATAGTATATTGTAGCTATAAATACATAGAGATCGAGATCGATCAGAGTATATTGTTAAATTGCATGGACTTAATTCCAATTCATTAATTAATTAAGCTGATCGATCGAGCTCTGTCTGATCTCTGTCTCGATCGATCGATTAAAGCTAGATAGAAGTTATAATTAAGCTAGAGATGGCAGAGATGGTGAATGATTTGGCGAATGAGCATCCAGTGGTGTTATTCCGAAAGGACGAGGAGTGCTGCCAGTGTGAAAGCATCATTTCCCTAGTTCAAGGCAATTATGGGGCATCACTTCAGATATACAATCTCGACGAACAGGAGGAGGGAGACGCAATGAAGGCGCATCTCCAGAGTCTGGGCCAGCTCCCGGCAGTGTACATGGGTGGCAACCATCTTGGCTCTACAGAAGAACTTCTTTCCATGAGCATAACGGGAACTCTCAAACCAACACTTCTTCAAGTCGGTGCTATTTTTCTCTAAACACGTCCCTACCTATATTGAGTTGGATAAAATAAAACAAGGTCGTTGTTCTTAACGTGTTTAATAATAGTTATTTTCAGCCGTCACAATACACCTCATCTTTATGAAAATGTCTACATGTTGAAGACAAGTGCATTACATAAGAGTTATTGTGAATAGATCAGATTCACATTTTGGAAGATTGAAATTAATTTTTATTTTACACGTTAAGAATCTTCTTTTTATTTGAATTTGAACTCTCTTCTATATATATATACATATTACAAGCTAGTATTTGTACGTGAAAATGATAAGAAAATGAATGCTGTTTTTGAAATGAAACGGACTATCTATCATACAAGTTTATGTTTTACAAAAGCACAATTATTAAAATGATTAACTAAAAAGGCCAGGCCAGCTGACCAAGTATGGAGATAATATAATTAAATATATATAGTACGTAGTACTCCTCCGGCCGTATAGGCGGAGTACTCCGTATATTATTGCATGCATGCAAGATGATATGCATGTATGTTTTCTATCATCCTATATATATCTGCAAGATGGTTTGAGTTTGTCCTTCCTATATATATAGATAGTACGGAGTATATTGTATGCATGTGTACCAGCCTATATATATACATATACGTATGTACTTTTATTGGTCGGTTGTCCAATATAATTACATTGTACGTATCATCTCATCTCTCAGGATAGATTGAATAAAGCTAAGTGCACGCCATCAATGTTTTTCTGTATGTGTCCTCCCTCACATATACTGTATACAAAGTATGATACAATTGAATAAATTTTGCCATGATATTTCGTTCGTTATTATGTGTATTATATTCCGATCCACCTCGAGCTAACCAGATGCAATTACACAAACACACATATATATGGTACCGCTCCAAAAAAAAAGAGTGTTTAATTAACATGTAACATGCGAAAATTTTACTTTAATACGCTACACTTTTAAATTCAAATACTGTACTTATTCACGGCATCAAATTAAAACATGCACTTTTATTGTATACGAGCGTATATTCATAGCAGTCGCGCTCATTCATCGATCATATATCAAATGAAAAGGAGTATATAATACATTTACCGGCCACGACTAAATAATTATGTTTTTTCTTATCATGACTAAATAATTATGTTGAGACAATAATCAGTAATACGCTAATTAATCGACATAAATATTACTCCATACTGTAAACTCCAGTTTATATATTGTTGTGATATATTATCCTGGCCTACTATTGTTCAAAGGTCTGAGATATGACCTCAGTACAGAGCCCAAATGGCAAGGGCCATTTGGACCTATCGGGCCTATTTCGGCCTTAGGGCCCCTTTCGGCCCCCTTGGTCCATTAGAGTAGACTTATCCCCTACCCCATTTTCCCTATAAATATAAGACTTTCCCTCCATGTTATGGGTTTCTCTTCTTCCCCACTTCCTCCTCCTCCTCTCTAGAATAGATTAGCTAGCAACCTCCATTAATGGGAGCTTCAATATTTTGTACTTTGTAATGATGAGGAGAGTATTAATGAGAATGAAAGGGCTTGAACATTAGCCTAAAAAGTGCCGTGATTTTCTCCCTTTCAGGTTTCCGCGTAAAAACCGAGTGTTCCTACAAATTTATATCTATATTTACTATATCGTGTGAGACTAAACTCAACACTTACCAATTCATTTGATCTTTAGCCATTTCTTTGATTCTTGCATGATACCCGATTGATTTGTTGTTTCCTAATATACAAATCCTATATTACGTGGAGCAAACAAAGTTCATCAAAGTCTTCAGGACGGGGAGCACGTGGTATGATACTCTTCCAAGAGACATGACTGCTCTATTCAAGACCTGACGAGCGATTCGTCAAACCATGACGGGGTGGACCGGATGAGATAAATCCAATCGTCATACATAAGCATATTGTTATAAAGTTTAAAATGACATACAATGGTTATGATAAGCTGGAATACGGTACATTTAAATTTGTTTCACTTTGAATTTCCTACTTTATTTCCTTTACATATAAACAATCACTAACTTAGCATCTAACATCTAAGGACCGTTGGCTTCTAGCAATTGGAGAGCCGTGACAACTTTTTATATAGAAATAGTCAACAACGACGATGATTTCCTGGCACACGTCAAACAAAGCCTTACAGAAACGTCAAAACATAAATGACATGACTTACATAATTAAAAGTCTTACAGAAACGTCAAAACATAAATGACGGGGCTCACGTAGGCCTTACGAAAACGTCAAAACATAAATGACTGGGCTTACAAGGAAAGAAGTGGGTTTCGTATCTTATAATGATGAGTGCAAACACCACAAATTCCCTACAAATGTTTTTGCAAAAACTATACAATAGAAACGCTACAGAAATCAATGTTTCAAAGGTATAAAACAAACAACGAAAAAATCCAAAACACAAGGAGACAACACTAATGACATCGACACGAATGACAACCTTAAACATTAATGTTTAGGTTGACAATACAAACAGAATAGTATTGATAGCATAGAATAATGTTTATTTATGTATGTTATTTTAACTAGTTTTATTTGTTGTTGTTTGGGAAATTACACACTTTTGGTGTAATACTTTATTTTTCTTATTTGTTTGTAATTTGTATAGATTAGGATTATTCTGAGCTTTAACTAGGTAAAGATCATCAAAAGGATCCTTTGAAAGGTGAAGGAAAGTGCAAGGGAACAAGATCAAGTGAAAATTTGGGGAAAAAGTCATTTACCCGATCGGATAAAGCATATACCCGATCGGGTATTGACTTGATCCGAAGATCAAATCTGATTTGGAGGCAATTTAACGTGCATGGTGAAGATTTGGCAAAGATTTGTCTTTTACCCGATCGGGTAAATCAAAAACCCGATCGGGTAAGATGTGACAAATGAAGATTCCGGGCAATTTCTCAGGAAACCCGATCGGGTTTCTCAAAAACCCGGTCGAGTAAATGGCCCTGGCAGCTCCAAACACCTATAAATACACCCCCTTTCCTTCCCATTTGATCACCAATTCCTATACACTTCTAAGCTCAATTTACTTAAGTACTTTCTTTATATTTTTATCATGTTTAGTCTCCAAATGAGGAGCTAAACTCTTCCATCTTGGTTTTGCTACTTTGAAGCTTAATGAATTTGTAAGTTGTGAGTTATCCTCTTTAATCTTCTTCCTTGAATATTAATTCTTCCTTTAAATACTATTTCTATATCAATGTTGGGGAGTGTTACTAAGATGACAATTAGTTAACATCTTGACATTAGTTATAATAATAGACTAATAGTTATTTCTTCCTCTACGTTAATATTGGGGAGTGTTACTAAGATGACAATTAGTTAACATCTTGATATTAACTATAGTAGGATTCATCTCCTTTAATATTCTTCCTTGAGTATTAATTAATTCCTATTCATATTTCACATTAATATTTTGAACATTACTTAAAGGATCAACTAGTTTGTTTCATATATTAATTATTACTAGAATAGATCGACGAATACGCTTGTTAATCGTTCGATCGTTTCATGGTAGTAAACCTCGGTTATTAATGCATGCGTTTCATGGTTAATAAACCAAGGGGAATTAATTATGTTGATTAAACCAATAAACCGCTTGTGTTGAGGTTGTCAATCTCAATCGTTTTCATCTTGATTTTATTGCTACTATCGGGTTAATATATGGCGCATGTTCTATATTAACTCGGTAGTAAGTTTTATTAATGAACACATCTCGTTATTAATAACTACCCTCGATGAACTGGATATACTCCTCGATTGAGTATTCGAGAGGAAGATAGTTAAAGATATAACCGGGATTGACGAACATTTCATTAAGTGGATAAAAGCAAAACCAAGTCCTCATCTCTATTAATTAAACTCATTTAAGTCATTCATCTTAGTGTAGAATTAATTAAATCAAATCAAACTTTAAACCCCCCTTGTTACTAGTTACATAAAAAGAGAAGTATTCCTTTCCCTGTGGATACGAACCTTACTTCATTATACTACGTATAATTGTTGTATTGAATATTATTTTGAGTGCACACCACGACAAAGTGCACGTTAAATTTGGCGCCGTTGCCGGGGAAAGGCAATCATTTTTATTTTTAATTTAATTCAAGAAAAAAATATAAATAAACAAAATATAAAGAGTTCTTACTTTTTCTATTTCTGAGCTTACATGAGTATATGGTAAAAACCCATTCTATAAACGAACTTACTTACCAAACAAATCCCGAATTAGAACAAGCCTTCGAGAGGTTGAGAAATTTATTTCCGCACACACCCTCGAAGGAATCCTCAAACGCTAGCTCTAGTTCTAGCGAATTTGAAGAGTCATTCCACATGGTTCACGAAACCGTACCTTGAGGGAGCTCACAGCTCCAAACTTGAATCAGCAACCATTGTGTATTACCTTTCCTACTCTTGATGAATGTAATACATTTGAGCTAAAATCTGGGCTCATCCATCTACTACCATCTTTCCATGGTCTGAGAGGCAAAGATCCAAACAAACACTTGTCAGAGTTTCATATTGTATACACAAGCATGTGCCCAAATGGTGTAACGGAAGAGCAAAAGGTACTGAGGGCTTTTCCATTCTCTTTGAAGGACACCGCAAAATATTGGGTTTTCTATCTTCCTTTGGGAAGTATCAACACATGGGCGGCTATGAAAAAATACTTCTTGGAAAGGTACTATCCTGCCTCTGTCTCATCGTCTTTGAAAAAATAAATAAGCAACATTGAACAAAAAGAAGATGAGACATTGTATGAATATTGGGAGCGTTTTAAGAAGCTATGTGCTAGCTGCCCCTATCACGGATACACCGAACAAGACCTCATCTTATACTTTTAAGATGGTCTTGTTGATGATGATAGAAGAATGATGAATGCTGCTTGTGGAACTGGCATTGTAAACAAAACTCCTTCACAAGCAACAAGCTTAATCTTGGAATTGGCCGAGAACTCACGGCAATTCAGCCGCAAATCCTCTGCGTACCCGAAGAGTTCTTGCTGCGGAAACAAGTACAACCGATCTAGAAAATCAAGTTGCCGGCTTGACTTCTTTGGTGAAAGAACTCCTTCTAAAGCCAAAAACGCAGGAGGTCAAAGCTTGTGGCATTTGCACATCAACCGGACATCCCACTGATTCATGTCCATTCCTCCAAGAAGAGCAAGTCAACGCCTTGGGCTTCCAAGGACATCAACAAAGAAGGTATGATCCTTTCTCAAATTCTTATAATCCGGGATTGAGGGATCATCCAAATTTGAGATATGGGAACCCTCAACAAGCCAACTCATCTTCTCAACCACCTTTCAACACCCAAGGTTCAAATTCTCAATCTAATATGTCAACTGATGACATGATCCGAACTTTGACCTCAAACATGGTTACCATGCAACAAAACATGGGAGAATTTCAACAAACCATGATACAATTCCAACATGAGACAAAGTCAAGCATAAAAAAATTGGAAACTTAAGTTAGCCAAATTTCAAATGTTGTGAGCTGACTTGAAGCAAAGGACTCGGGTAAACTCTCATCTCAAACGGAGCAAAACCCGAGACAACATGTGAATGCTATCATGTTGAGGAGTGGGACGACATTGAAAGAGTTAGAGAAGGAAGAACAAAATGTTGAGCAAGTTGATCGTGAAGAGGAAGCTCACTCGGAGGAGGGAATCATAAAGCCAAACTGCCTCCACATTCATCATATGAACTAGTGGCCCCATTTCCCGAGGCATTGAGGGAGA